GAGAAGCCCATAAGCGGGCCTTAATAAATGATAAATTAGAAGGAAGAGAACGAGAGAGGAGGAGCGGAGAGAGAGTGTGTGTGCAAGAGAGAGAGGGAGCAACCCTCTAACACCATATTCTAAGAATGGAGAAAATGCTAATTGTGCAAAGCAAACATAATAAACCGGAGGCTTCAAAGTAATCATCTTGTTTATTGATTATTTTGTGACATGGCTAACCACTACTTAGAGTTTTCTAACTCTTAGATACATAAAAGCTTTTTTTCTTTTTTTGAGAATGTCGTTTAAGGCTCTTTATAGACAATTCAGGGAGATGAGGTCACAGGCCGATTTCCCATCTCCAGTACTTACTTTAGCTGTGTAACCTTCACACAGTACTTGACCTCACTATTCCTTAGCTGCATGTCTGAGAAATTGGGGTGATGCTAATGGTGCTTTCCCCACTGAGCTGTTATGAGGATTAAATGAGTCAGTATATGTAAAGTACTTAGAAAAGAACCACAGTAAGTAAGCACTCCATTCACATTAGCAAATATCACAGTTACCTAGGCTCTGAGCTTTAGAGGGTCCTGCTCTGGCTCCCTTTAACTGGGCCCCTTCCCACTGAGCAGTGGGTCTGCAGAACACAGGCAATGTGTCCACCCAGAATTTGTCCCATCCTGCTCTCCATGTAAAACACTGGCCATTGGGCTTCCCTGGTGGCGCAGTGGTTGAGAGTCCGCCTGCCGATGCAGGGGACATGGGTTCGTGTCCCGGTCCGGGAGGATCCCACATGCCGTGGAGCGGCTGGGCCTGTGAGCCATGGCCGCTGAGCCTGCGCGTCCGGAGCCTGTGCTCCGCAAGGGGAGAGGCCACAACAGTGAGAGGCCCACGTACCGCAAAAAAAAAAAAAAAAAAAGGAAAAAGAAAAACAAAAAAACAACACTGGCCATTGCCCCAAAGTCTGGAATTCTACCTAAATGGCCCTAGGCCTGTGTCTGGAAACTATGAGGCCCCCTGTCTCCCTGAGGGTGGACCAAGGAGCTGGTGTACTTACCCAAAGGCCTGAGGGGTGACCAAGCAGTGGCCAAGGGGTGTCTGGGGCAAGACATGTGGGCAGAGCCTAAACCAGAGGGCTGGGGTGTTGTAATGTGGGTGCCTGACATTAAGCTTCTGATTACTGAGGCATCTGTTTCAAAGACATCTATCTCAAATAAACACATTGCCAGCTGTATGACACACTACTAGTAAAACAACTAGATAAGAAAGCAGGTCACCCCATCCGTGAAGTTCCCTGGATAACTGACCGCTTGAATAATTCTGTTTTTCCCTTCCCGTGCCTTAATTCCCACTCTTACGTTTTAAACTTGCCAATATTTTTGTAACCATGTATGGTGACAAATGTTAGCTAGACTTACTGTGGTGATGATTTTTGCAACATATATAAATATCAAGTCATTACGTTATACACCTGAAACTAATATAATGTTATATGTCAGTCATAACTCAACGTTCAAAATTAATTAATTTGCCAATAAAGAGAGAAACTGTGAAACCCTAGGCACCCCACCTTTGACCCCAGTAAAGGGAGAACCCCAGGTCTCCACCCCCCCATACCTGTGACCTTGCTGTGTGGCCCTCAGGTGTGCTGTGTACCCTCCGGTTCTTGCAAATAATACATCTTATCTTTCAGATTTCTCTGACAGTGGCTGCTGAGGTGCATTTTAGATAATAAGAACCACATGGGTCAGTCTAGCCACAATATTAGCTCCAGTCAGAGTAAAGTCTACAGGGGCTGCCACAGTGGTATGGACCCCGGTAAGTGATTCAGACTTTCCTAGCCAACAGTATCACTGCCAAAAGGCTGAGACAGACACAAAACAGGTGTCCAGCTGCATGCATGACAGACCTCTCCCAGTGCCAGACAGAACCAAGAACGGGGCTCCCAATCACTCCCACTCCCACACTGGAATGAATAAGTCTAAGTAGTTCAAGCGTTCTGAATGCCAAGCTGGTGTTCCCCATCACTATGAAAATATTCTTGTTAAGTTTGGTTAACAGAAAGTATTTTATTTAGCAGTCTTCTACATTGGTTTATGAGTTTTAAATAATTAGGTAAATGGTATGTGGACTTCCATTTATACCAATGCCTCGGCTCCACAAAAGTTAGGGTTGGTCATAAGTATAAAAACAACAGCTAAAGTTAAAAATATCAAAATAAGATGGTTCCATGTCTCTTTAACATCCCTGTTCTTTATTTTGGGTTTTATACCAAAACATAAATATACCTATCTCCAATATGACTATATAAAGACATATATCCAATATGGCTGCAACGCAAACGTTTCTGACCAAGGCATTACTGATATTCAGTAAACATGTATAGTCCACTTCCAAAAAAAATGCTGCCCATGTGTATATGGCAGAGACAAAAACAAGAAAGGCAGCAGCTCTGTGGTATATTTGTGTAAGAAAGACCAGTGCTCCCAGACCACAGCCTGCAGTGACTTTTACTGGACCCCAAAATGACTGTGCCAAAATGGTGAGGTGGAATCTGCAGAGACCTCACCCAGGCACTACCTGGGATCCTCAGAGTTCAAAATGGTAAACCCTACATCCACTAAACTCCCAAGTCCGTCACCTTGTATAATCCTCAACATAATCCACTAGCCACAGTAACATCCTCT